TGCAATTTTCCCTACATTTACGGAGTTGTAGAGAATTTTATTAATTCAAGGAATTACACACCGTTGATCACGACGAAAATTATAAAAAAAGTTCTCTCTCTTCTCGTTCTCTCTCTATCTACTCGTGAGTCATGCGGATGAAGAGAAAACAAGGGAAAGCAATCCTTATACTTCTTACCGTGAACGATAAGAATATCGATGTTGGCCCGTCAAAATTAAAGCCGCAAGCTTTAATTCGTTATACACAGAAGAAAAATGAGAGTAGAGTTGGGTGGAATTCGAACGAAGGAATAAAAGGGAATTTATATACCTTGCCTTAATTTGAGAATCCAGAAAAGAAAGTGGGAAAACAGAAACAAGAAAGAAATATATGCATGTAAATACATTCCATAGATGCAAGTCTGTCAATTTTGAGATAGTGGATCCGACTCTACAATACCCAACAATTCTCCTACTTGAAGACCGGAACACTAACTGCATCGTTCGTTTTTCCTCAAACGTGATATCCTCTACCACTACAACTCAAAGTCTCTGTCTTCAAGCTAGAAGACTAATTAAAGTAGAGCACAACTTCAATTCTCAAGTGTAACACCCTTAGTCAATATATCAGCAGGGTTTTTGCTGCCACAAATCTTCTCAAGTAGCAACAGTCCGCCATCTAACAATTACTGTATGAAGTGGTACCTGATCTGAATGTGTTTAGTCCTGGATTGAAATGTTGGATTCCTGGCAATGAATATAACATTTTGACAATCACTATAGAGAGTGTCCTTTTGAATCTCCTTACCTAATTCTTCCAAGAAACTTTGCAGTCATATCATCTCTTTTGCAGCCTCTAACACTGCAATATACTCAACTTCCGTAGAAGACAACGAAATTGTCTTCTATAGATTTGAGTCTCATGACATTGCAGTACCACAAATAGTATAAACATAACTTGTAGTACTCTTTCTGCTGTCAATGTTTCTAGCTAAGTCAACATCCATGCAGCCCTGTACCTCCAGGTTCTTTCCTAAGAAATACAAGCAGGTTTCGGAGGAGCCTCTTAGGTAACTCAAAATCCACTTCACAGCTACTCAATGTTCATCTCTTAGGTTACTAATGTATCTACTCACAACTCACACTGCATAGGCAATATTCGGCCTTGTGCAAACCATAACATACATAAGTGAACCAATAGCTGAAGCGTAGGGAATCTTACTCATGTGGTCTCATTCCACCTCTGACTTGGGTGACTGATTTTTACTTGTCTGAAGTGACTGCCCAAAGATGTGTCAACTGGCTTGACTTTGTCCATATTGAACCTGCTAAGGACCTTTTTTACATATTTAGTCTGTGAGAGTCTTAACGTGCCTCTGACTCTATCTCTGACAGTTCTCATGTCAATAATTTGTTTTGCAGCTTTCAAATCATTCATTACAAATTGCTCTAACATCTATTTCTTCATATTATTGATCTCGTCAATACTAGTCTCTGCAATTAGCATGTATTCCACATACAACAGCAGAATAATGTAGGAGTTATGAAAATGTTAACATAGCAACAGTAATCTTTCTGACATATATTGTACCATGCACTGTGCATGAAATTATTAAATTTCTTGTACCACTACTTAAGAGTTTGTTTTAGGCTATATAAGTTTTTATTCAGTTTACAAACTGAATATTCCTTTTTCTGTACCACAAACCTCTCAGGTTGGTGCATGCTCAAAGAATAGATCTTCGGTAGCCACCATAAACGATATCATTCTAATGGTTGTGAGCTTCACCACAGAGGAGAAGATATCAGGATAATCAATACTCTGACTCTGTTGAAAGCCTTTTATAATATGTCTAGTCTTGTACATTTTACTGTCATCATGCTCAGTTTTCACCCGGTACACACACTTGTTGTGCAATGTCTTCTTCCAAGGTGGAAGTTCTGTCAGCTCCCATGTCTGATTTTCTAACAGAGAATTCATCTCTTCCTTTATGGTCAGCTCCCACTTGCTTGAATTTTTATCTTGTAAGGTTTCTTCATAACTTCATGGTTCTCCACCATTTATCAACAGAATGTAGTTCAAGGTTGGTGAGTAACGCTGAGGAGAACGTCTATTCCTGACTGACCTGCGAACTGTAGCCGTAAGGGTGGACGACTCTGAATCTGAGTGCGGAACAATAAAAATGGGAGCCCCGAACCCTCTCTCCTCATCACTTTCATTATTGTCTTACACTGTGACCTCGAGTAAACCATCAACCCTTAACATCTCAGATTCCTGAAGAGTCACTTCAGAAATTGTACTGACTTGTCATTGTACATGATTTTCTCATTGAAAATCACATTTTTGCTTCTTATGATCTTCCAATCTTGATCATCCCAAAAACAATAACCAAATATCTCGTCTCCATAGCTAATGAAATAACATTTCTTTGACTTAGCCTCGAACTTGTTACAAGCCTCGAGATTAATAAGAACATAAGAAAGGCAGCCAAAAGTCTTAAAGTAAGAAAATTTGACCTATTTCCCACTTCAGACCTCCTTAGACAATTTACAGTCTAATGGAACAAATGACCCACTGTTGATCAAGTAAACTGCATTGTTGATCACCTCTGCCTAGAAAATTGGTGGCAATCCAGCGTGTAATCTCATGCTTCTAGCACGCTCATTTATAGTTATATTCATACGTTCTGTAACTCTATTTTGTTGTGGTGTCTCAGGAATAGTATTCTCCGTTTTGATATGTTGAGTTGCACAGTACTCCTTGAGCTCACCATTAATGTACTCACCACCACTGTTAGATCTCAAACATTTCAATTTCAAGTTTGTCTCTGTCTCGATCATCTCCTTCCAAGTTTTGAACACATTAAATATATCATATTTATGCTTCAAGTAATACACTCATACCTTTTTGTTGTGATAATCAATGAACGTGACATAGTAACGAGAGCCTTCAAAAGATGTCATTGGGGAAAGGCCCCACATATCTGTGTACAAATTTCAATTTTTTTGTATTTGGCGCTATGCCACTTTTCAAGAAGCTGACTTTTTTTTGTTTCCTTATAGTGCAACTCTTATATATCTTGAGATCAACTGACTTCAGTTCTGGTAGCTTGTCACTGGACTGAAGTTCTTTCAAACCCCTCTGACTAATGTGGCAAGTATGCAATGCCACAAATCTGTCGTGTTTTCTGCAGCGGCAGTATCAACACTGTTAATTAAATCAGTAGTCATGTATAGTGTATCAGTTTTCTTATCCCGGGTCAATATCAGTGCTACTTTTGTAACATTCCAAGAGCTATATGAGAACACTATTGAATGACCACTCTCATCGAGCTACCCAACATAAATGAGGTTTTTCTTCAACTCATGAATGTGTCTAACATTTTGCAAAGTTCATTTGCTCTTATTTGGGAGTGTAATGTCTCCCATCCCCGCCACGTTCAAAGGTTCTTCATCAACTAGATATACTTTCCCAAAGTCACCTGCAATATAATTCCGCATTAACTCCCGGTAGGAAAACGTATAGAAGGAAGCCTCTGAATTCAGTATTCAGTCATCCACAAAACTTTGAACTGTCAACAATAGTGCATCATGTACTTCTTCAATTACAACATTAGCACTGACGTTCTCTGTCTTGTGATTTTTCTGTTCTTTTTTACGTGTCCAGCTTTTCCACAATTTCAGCAGGTTGTTTGTTGGTCAGACTCTGACATGCTCTTGCTTCTGTGCTTTTATTTTGATCTTCCTCTATTTGAGTTCATGTCATGTGATCTCCCTTTATAATCAACATTCAATACTAAACTCGAACCCGAGATCTGACCAGAATCTTTCTTACATACCTCCTCAGCAAAAAACAAATCATGAATATAGTTATATTTCAGCTTAGATTTATCTACAAAATTGCTAACGACCATCCTCATGACTTTTCAATTATTTAGCAATGAAGTCAACAATATAAGTGCACATATCTCATCATCAAATTTAATTTCCACAAACAATAATTTATTTGTGATAATATTAAAATCATTCAGATGTTGTGCAACAGTTGTATCATCTGTCATCTTTAAATTGAATAATTTTTTCAACAGATGCACATTCTTATTCGCTGATGATTTTTTATACATATCTGACAAGGCTGTCATGAGATGCTGATAATTTTTTATACATATCTGACAAGGCTGTCATGAGATTTGTAGTTGTCATTTCCTTGATGACATTGTGTGTCACGGATTTCGACAGAGTTAATCGAATAACCCCAAGAACTTGTCGATCCAACAAATTCAATTTTGTCACGTCTATCTTTTTCGGTCGTTTTTCCAATAAAATTATGTCACGTCTATCTTTTTCGGTCGTTTTTCCAATAACGAAAGAAAAAGTTTATTCCCATAAAGATAGTCATCTATCAGCATCATCTAGGAACGAAAATTCGAGCAATCAAATTTCTCGATCCCTGATACCATCACTTCATCTCCATTCATCGCTTTCCTCATACCTGAACCTTAGCTCTGATATTAATTGTTGTGAAAAAACGACGGCAATAAAGCTAAAAGTTGGAATGAGAAATTCGCAAAACAGAGAAACACGGGCACACAGATTTACGTGGTTTGGCAATTTTGTCTACATCCACGGAGTTACAGAGGATTTTATTACTTAAGAGAATTTCATAACGTCGACAATTACAAGAAAGCTCTCTCTCTCTACTTCCTCTCTCTCTTCTCCTTATCTCTCTATCTACCCGTGAGCCACGCGGATGAAGAAGAAAACAATCATTAGTCTTCCTTCTTACCGTGAACAGTAGGAATATTAATGTTGGCCCAGCAAAATTAAAGTCTCAAGCTTTAATTTGCCATACAAAGAAGAAAAATGGGAGTAGAGTTAGGCCCTGCGATCTCTTCCAGGATCCATATATAACTCTCCCTATTCGGCCCAATAAGGAAGCTAGATTAGCGAAACTCAGAGAAGCGGGAACAAAAGGGATTCGGGCCAAGGAATAAAAGGGAATTTATATTGCTTGCCTCAAATTGCGAATCCAGAAGAAAGAGGCGGGAAAGCATAAACAAGAAAGAAATATATGCATTTAAATACATTCTATAGATGCAAGTCTGACAATTTTGAGATAATGGATCGGACTCCACAATACCCAACAAAGATAATAAATACTAATAGGATATAATCTTTTATTATAGGCACTACATCAAAGAAAGTAACTTGAAAAGAAAAAAAACTTTCGACTATCAAGAATAAAGCGACTAATTATTATTTTATTCTCATACAGCACAAGCAAATAAAATGCACTTAATTTTTTTATGCATATAAAAACTTTAACTTGTGATAAAGTTTTTTTTACTAGAATTACAAAAAATTTCATATTTAATAAGAAGTCCTTATTAGCATATACGTTGATTCTTGCAAATGCTTAATATTAGAAATATCATGTGATATATAGATATGCAAAGAACATGCATGTGCTTGAATATTGGAGTTACCCTTAAATGATACTAGCTGAAGAAGCAACATACCCACGTGCACTTAAAAAAAACAAATGAAACATGGTTACCTGCCTTTTTTAGACTGATTTGGAAAAAGTTTTAGAAAGATGTGCCCTTTTTTGCGTATTTATATAAACAATGACTCCTAAAACTGGTGTATTAAATATTAAAATACGATGAATATGAAAAAGGAAAAGTGAAACAAGAAAATTGAACTATAGATTATTATGTTTTATATTTATAGCAGATGTACATGTAAATTGTATTATTCAAATAATTTATGCATATTGCTTCATGAAAATTCTTGAATTACTATACAACAACAATAACAACAATAAAGCCTTAATCCCACTACGTGGGGTCGGAATAAAGTACTATGATTTACTATGAAATTCTGAATTACTATGATTTAAAAAAAAATAATTAACCGCTGTTTTATTTACCTCACAAAATATTTCTTAATATTTTCAAGTAAACCCTCTTAGGACTTCAATGGATGAGAGAAGAGGCTTTGTTTGTCCGGGAAGCTCCAAACGATAGGTAAAGCATTGAGCTTTTTTATTTTAACCAGTTTAGCCTTGATGAAAATTTTAATTTGGACGCAATTTACTTGTTGAATAAGAAAGTTTTGGTGATAGTTGGCCATTTTGTAAAATTGAGGACTTTATAATTTTGAAAACTGTTTGGTTAAATAAACTTATTTTCGTCCAACCGTCAATTCTGATCTTGATTTTCCAAACTTCTGGCCTATCTCGTGACAAATTATCACTTGCACATGTGCAGATGTAGTACAACATGCAGTAAAGTGATAGAAGAAAAACTTAACTATTTATATTAAAAAAAAAAAGGAAAAAAGAATTTACCTGCTTGTATGACAGACCAAAGTGGAACTTGTTTGGGCTGTAGTAGTTTTCTTCAATAGCACTACGAAATTCATCCTCATACAAAGGCTTGCACATCCAGATCCTCTCAAAAAGAATCTTTAATATGTACAGCAAGTTATTAGAAACGAAAATAAAGAAAAAAGAAACAAAGGGCACAAATGTGACCAACATATCTCATCCCATTTCTAAGCAAATTGCTCAGCTAACAGAATCCTTTTAAGTGCATAACCTGCGAGTAATTTAGGCAGACTTCCAAAAGAACAAAGAAATACACCATAAGAGTCATGATTTCTTACCATTTGGGATCATTTTTGTTTTTTATTTTCTATTTTTTGTTTTTATTTTATTTTATTTGCGTTTGATTATATTACACCGTCGCCAAGCCCACCAAATAATTTGAAGAATTATTTTAGGCTCAAGACTAAAAGGATAAGTTAGTTATTTGTTAGTTATTATTGTGGGTATAAATAGGGCTTAATGTTTTAGGGTTAAGACATGATGAGATTTTTGTCTCGCGACTTAGGATTAAGATTTGGGAGAAATCACCTACCTCTCGAATTGTAGGTGTTAGGGTTGGGATTTGCGAGAGATTGTTACCTCTCGAATTGTATATGCTTATCTCTATATATTCAGGTTGTGTTGATTTATCTTTATGAAAAAAATATTTATTTGCCTTAATTAATGTGGAAAAGTCTCCCAGTTCGTGTCAAATTAGCATCAGAGCATTTGATTCTTTGAAACAAAGAAAAGATCGAGGCGTTCCACATAATATATGCGATTTGAGCTAGCTGTGAAGTCGATGGGATTGCAGCGTAATCAAACCTCATGAAACATTCACAATTTTTAACGAGTTGGGATGCCTACAACGATTGCGGAGCATAGATTTGTAGAATCATGAGTAGGGACACCTCCCAATTGGGATCGATGCGTACAGTGCTCTTCGTGAATGAAGCCTACAGTAGGGTAGTGATTAGCTACAAAGCAACAACAGAATAGTGACATACAGTGTGACTGAATCACGCGATACAGTCTTGACTGTAGTTGGGGCATACAGGTGAATCTCGCAATAAAGTCAAGATTTAGGCGATCTAGGAAGCCAAGGACAGGATCGTGACTTACGAGCTCGCATACAGTTGAGAATCGGGGAACAGCGGGATTGCAACATAAAGGAGTTTCGATTCCGTGATTGAAAATCATCCTGGGAAAAATTAGAGAGATAAGTGAGTCAAATAAGATCGGAAATGGAGTGTTTCTCGTCCAAGGAAGAATGACTTTTGTCTATGGAGGGGAGAAAGGAAAGGAGATTCATGTCCCTAGAAGAAAAGATGAAAAAAATCATGAAATTTCACACAAATGGTCTGCCATGGGATCAAGCGACGACATCGAGTACGGAAGCAAGCGACAACAGTTGGAAGAAATAACGCGACATTTCAAGGTTGGAACAAACAAAACTAGGTAGGATATGGTGAAGGAGTTGGGAACAAATTCGAGCGACAACAACTAGAGTGAATTGCACAACATCTAGAGATTTAAAATGAGCGAAAACAGACAGAACAAGATGACATGCGATTCGAGGCTGAAGGATATGTCAATCTTTTGAATAAATTGGTTGAATGTTTTTTTTTTCCTTTGCTTTCATTTCAATAAATAATAATTGGTTGAATGTTTTTTTTTTTCCTTTGCTTTCATTCCAATAAATAATAGTTAATACAATCTATTTTAGATAATCTAATAATACATAATAACGTGTACAATCTATTTTAGGTAACTTAATAATACATATTCCTAATCTAAATATTCAACTATAAGGAAATAATATATAAATTTAAACTAAAAATTTAATGCAGTCATTTAAAGAAGAAAACTCTTAATTATGTCTGATTTCAATTATTCTTGATTAATATCCCCCCTCAAATTAATGTTGACCGATCAAAAAGCATCAATTTGTTAACAAGGAACTGATGACGCTGCCGAGAAAGAGCCTTAGTAAATATATGAGTATGAGTCGTTTGAAGATTCAAAAAGGTATAAGGAAGAGAAATAACACCATTATCATAGGCTTCTCGAAGAGAATGACAGTCAACTTCAATGAGTTTCGTGCACTCATGAAAGACAGGATTAGCAGTAATCTTGATAGCATTAATATTATATGCATAAAGAGTAGACTCAAGTTAAAGAAAACCAAGATCACCCAACAAAGCCCGAAGACAAATGATCTCAGAACAAACAGAGGTCATAGCGCGATATTCAGACTCAATAGATGACTTAGACGCTATTTCCAGTTTCTTATTCTTCCAAGAAATTAAAGAGTTGCGGAGAAACATACACCAGCCAATAATAGATCAACCTATCAGAACAACCAGCTCAATCAGCATCACTATAGGTTGTTAAGCAAATAGGAGTTCCGCAGAAAAGAACAAACCACAATGAAAAATACCTTTCAAATACCTAACAATACATCGAACTGCAGTTAAATGAAGATGCATGGATGTCTGCATAAATTGACTAACTTGATGCACAACAAATAAAATATTAGGGCGTGTGACGGTTAGATGATTGAGACTCTCAATAAGTTGTCGAAACAGAGATGGATCAGATAGAAAGTCACCATCATTCCGTTGATATTTAACATTCACTTCCAAATGAGTATATCAACAGGACGACCCACTTGGAGCCCAGTCAAAGCAATGAGTTCCTTAATATAGTTATGTTGGTGAAAAAAATACCAGTGGGAGAAGAGTGAACCTCAAAACCTAAGAAATAAGTCAAAAACCCCAAATCCTTCATATGAAAGGAACCCTGAAGACCCTTCTGTAACTGAGACATCAATTGAGTATTAGATCCTATGATGACAATATCATCAACATAGACTAATAACAATACAATTCTCTTGTCAGTCTTGCAAAGAAATAATAAAGAATCATATCGACTTTGAATAAAAGAGAAGCTAAGAAGAGGATTGTGAAACTTTTCAAACCAAACTTGTGGAACCTATTTCAAACCGTATAGAGATCGTTTGAGCTTACAAGCATCATGTAAGGGTGTGGAAAACAAGCATGAAGGAGTCGTAAAGATATCTTCCTTGATGTGCCCATGCAAAAATGCATTCTTAACATCCATTTGTCGTAAGAACCAGCTTTTAGATGCAGCAATAGATAGAACAAGCCGAACAGTTGTCATCTTAGCAAAGGTCGCCTCATAATCGATCCCAAATTCTTGTCGATTGCCAAGAGCTACCAATTTTTCTTTATATCTATAAAGGGAGCCATCAAATCAAAGCTTAAGAGAATAAACTCATTTACAACCAATGGGTTTAACGTCTGCAGGACATGAAACAATATCCCGAGTGTGATTGTCTTGAAGTGCCTGAAGTTCCTCTTGCATAGATTTTATCCAACAAGTCTGTTTGGTAGCCTGAGAATAAGATGTAGAAAGTGTATAATTATTTAAAATTCCAGAATAGTCATATTTATTTGGAGGACGAATGTGCCAAGTCGATCGTTGAAGAATCATTAGAGCATTTTCAGGAGAAGGGTCAGGAAGGACTGGAGATGAAAGGACCAAGCGTCGTATGTAGGCATAGCTAGACTTGAATCATTTATCAAAAGAATCATCAAATTGATGAAGTATAACAGTGACAGATGATGAAAGATGATGCTGAAAATAGTATTCATGTTCAAATAAAATCACATCCCGAGATATACGTCATCGATTATTAATCGAATCATAACACACAAAACTTTTATGATTAGGATTGTAACTCATAAAGACACATCGAACAGATTGGGCTGCCAACTTATGACGTTCATTCGAAAGTATGTAGCATATGGGATGTTTACCAAAAATTCAATAGTATGGAGAATCAAACTTCAATTGTTGAGATGATAAACGATTAATCAGATAAACTGAAGTAGATAAAGCTTCTGTCCAAAAACTAGCTGGAATAGATGATTCTATGATGATTTTTCCTGTTATGATGATTTTTCTTGATGCGTGCTAGAAAATTCGCGGCAGTAGAGTACTATGATGATTTTTCCTGATGCGTGCTGGAAAATTCGCGGCAGTAGAGTAGCAGATTATTGTCTTAGCGTTGTACGAAAACACAGATTAAAGAGAATTAAGCAGTACCGACTCCATAAATGTTTACATGGAAAACCGGTAATCCGTAAAGAGAAAAATCATGGGGTATGGCCCAGTTGTGAAAATTCGCTATTAATTAATGATTACAAAATCAACACACACGCAGATTAAAGAGAATTGAGCAGTACCGACTCCATAAATGTTTACATGGAAAATCCGTAAAGAGAAAAATCATGGGGTATGGCCCAGTTGTGAAAATTCGCAATTAATTAATGATTACAAAATCTCGTCCCACAGACGGAAAATGGTAATTATATTTTTCAGACTACAGCTTCAACTGACAATATCTGGTGGGTGGTTATCAATAGTGGTTAGCCGTGGTCGACAACGGTTGGCGGAGGTCAATGGAGGTCGGCAGTGTTCGACAACGGTAGAAGGTGATCGAAGGAGGTCGGCAGTAGTCGTCGGCGATCGGCTGTTGTCGTCGGCGAAGGTTTGCGGTTGTTGAGGACAGTAGATGGTAGTCGACGGAGGTTGGCGGAGTTGAGGACGGATGACGTAGTCGATGACGGTCGGTGGTTGTCGATGGAAGTCGGCGGCGGTCGACGGGGTCAACGATGGTTGATGGCGATCGATGACGATCGACAGCGATCGACAGTGGTTTGCGGTGGTCGATGGCGGTCTGTGGTGATGCTGAGCTGCAGCTTCTCCTCAAAGCTCCAGGCTCTCTCTAGGATGTGATTTTATTTGAACATGAATACTATGTTCAATGACTTGATTTGGGCTTGATTTGATCCAGATTGGGCTAGTTTTCATATCATTAGGTATGTCTCGTCAAGTTGGTCAATTTGATTATAAGTTTGTTGAAATTGATGCTCTGGATGACTTTTTTATCAAAATTTGAATGTTTCTTGCTTAAAATATAGTCTCGAGATTCGTGTCATGCTTCGAGATTCGTGTCAGATGATAAAAATTTGTTGGTGGCATATGAGTTGCCCCCTTTGATGGCGTATAAGTTGCCCCACTATTTTCGGGCGAAACCATTTTTATCGTCTAAAAATATCAATATATGGAATAATTATGTATATGTATATATATATATATATCTTACTTATTTATAATAAGAATAATTTTTATCCTAACATAAATGGAAAGCTGAACTCAGTTTAGTTGGTTAATATCTTTTGTTTCATGTTGGAGGGGGGTTTGAATCCCACCTAAAACAGAAGAAATAATTTTTTACAAAAGAATTTGAAGAGATTAAAGAATTTGAACCAAGTAGGAATTTGAAGAGGAATACAAAAGAATTTGAAGAGATTAAAGAATTTGAACCAAGTAGGAATTTGAAGAGGAATTTGAATTCTGAAAAGAATATTAACAGAATTTGACTTTTTTTTTTAATTTATGAGTATTTAATGATTGCACTTATTTTTAAATTTATATAATAATGAGTATTTAATGTTTGATACCCTTTTTGAGCCCATAAATAGGAATTTGAATGAGAGGATAGAGATGCGGTGGTGTCTCTACAAATTCTTAATCTAAATATTCAGTTATTAGGAAAAGAATATATACAATTAAAATAAAGAATTTAATGCAGTCATTTAAATAGAAAATTCTTAATTCTGCCCGATTTAAATTATTCTTCATTGATAGAATATTGATTTAAATTTAATGCCTTTTGTTACGGAAGTCTTCTAGGCGAAGGCCATTCAGAAGTAATGATGTGAACGTGACACATGGGGAAGAACAAGGACTAATTTTGACATTGCAGAGTATTCCATAGTGAGAGAAGATGAGGATACTTTGTGGTGATCCTAGCATGCACAAGGCCTTAGTTTCAGTTGATCCAACGAAGGTGACAACTATATTGGAGTGGCCACTACCTAAGACTTTGAAGGCATTAAAGGATTTCTTGAACTTTCAGGATACTACCGGAAGTTCCTGACGGGTTGTAAATTGTTTTTGTGGTCGTTGACAAAAAAACTGAAAAAGGATGACTATTAGTAGGAGGTGGTAACCTAGACTTTTTAGAAGTTAAAAAGGCCATGACAAGTGTAAGACTGTGAGTGTTACTGAATTTCAGCCAACCTTTCATTGTCGAGACGAATGCTTCAAACTATGGATGCACAGTCCTAATGTAGTGTCAACGACCCATCACCGATTAGATATGAATCAATATGAGCTTCCACATAAATTAGGGCAAAACAAAATATTTGTATTTCAAAAACAGAAACCACAACTCAAATGCATGAATGATAAACAGTTACAATTAAAGAGGTAAGCGATCCCTCCCAAAACCCTAATTCTAAGAGTCGAGACAACAATCTCATCATGCATAACATAACAACCCAAAACATATTTGCCCTATTCATATCAAACAATAATAAATAACAAAAAACTAAATTGTCCATCATTTCATTTCAGAAATCATCTTTGTTGCAATTCGGGGGTGGAGAAAATTAATTTGAAGGATTTCAGCCTGAACAAGAAACTATGGTTGGTCAAACACCGACAGAAGCATAAAATCATGCCAGTGCTTTCGCTGTGGTAGCCTTCTGAGCGGA